AACAGTTTCCCTTTTTGCCCCTTTAACAACAGTTTTCCATATGTTAAGAGTTCATTTCAACCATGGATTATCAATATTATTGATATAGCTCTGTAAATTGTTATCAGCTAAGACTGCTTGTATGGGAGGAAGTGTCCTCTCTTCAGTGCTCTTCCATTGAGCATTATATGATGGATTCCACCAAGATATCACAATGCCGCAAAATAATAATCCCTAAGAGATGGTATGCCCCACCCCCCCTTTTCTTTAGCCAACTATAAAGTTTTGAGACGGACCCTTGGTCTTTTACCTCCATACCTTGATATAATGTTGTCCCATTCATTGAATTGGTTCTGGTTAACCTCTAATGGTAGCGTTTGAAATAGAACAGTCTAGGCAGTATATTCATTTTGATTGATTAAATCCTTGAGCTGAGACTGAAGAAAGGAATTAGATTCCATCTTGTTATGTCTCCTTGATAATTTATGTATAGGTAGATAGTTATATTCTGATAGCTTACTAGTATCCTTTGGTATATTGATACCTAGGTATTTGAATGACTGTTTGCCATGATAAGGGATACCTGTTCCTAATTTCTTGTGTCTCTGGTGGGCTATTGTTATATGAAAGTAATTGAGTGCTGCCTATGTTTATCTTGTATCCTGATAGTCGACCGTATTGTTCAAGTGACTGCATCAGTTTAGGTAAGGTATTTGTTGGTTGTCCTAGATAGATTAAAATATCATCTGCATAACAGGCCAATTTATGCTCTGTCCCTTGAATACTAATTCCCCTATTTTCTCTATTTTGTATGATATATTGAGCTAATGGCTCCGTATATAATGCAAAGAGTAATGGTGACCATGCACAGCCCTGTCTTGAACCTCTCTCAAGGGTAAAACTATTTGATAAATATCCATTAACCTTAATCCTAGCAGTGGGATTATCATATAAGCTTTGTATAGTTTTAATAATCGTGTCTTGTAACCCAAATCTGTGTAGAACTCTGTAAAGAAAACTCCAGCTGACGGAGTCAAAAGCTTTTTCAGCATCTACACTCATTACTATTGCTTTGATATTATTTTTTTTTTATATAATGCATGATGTGTGGTGTCCTTCGCATGTTGTCTTGTGTTTGGCATTGTTGTATAAAGCCTGTCTGGTCATTATGTATCAGTGTAGGTAGAAACTTTTCAAATTGTTTAGCCATGATGGAAGTATAACCTATAATCTATACTGATAACAGATATTGGTCTATATGACCCACATTGCGTTTTATCCTTGCCTTCTTTTAATATAGCTGAAATTATCGCCTCCTTCCAGCTAGGTGGTATTTGTGCCTCTTTTAGAGCCCAATTCAGAGTGGGGAGTAGAATAGGAATTAACTTGTTTTTAAATTCCTTATACCACTCTGCCATATACCCATCTGATCCAGGTGACTTACTTAATTTAAGCCTACTAATTGCAGCTTTTAATTCCTCCTCAGTTACATCAGCAGTCATCATTCTATTTTGTTCTTCATGAAGAGTGGGTAAATCCAGAGAATTCAGGTAGGTGTCAATTTGAGTTTTATTTGTTCCTGGAACTTTGGAATACAACGTTTTATAAAACATTTCAAAAACTTCCTAAATTTCACTTAGTTTATCCCAAATTTTATGAATTGTATTTTCTGCCACCTTCTTTTTCAGTTTCCAGGCTACTATTTTCATAGATTTAGATCCACTTTCGTAATGTCTGTGTTTCAGACACATTAGATTTTTCTTAATTTCTTGTGTGGCCAAATCATTAATTTCATTCCTAGTTTTTTTAATTTCCTTTAGTGTATCCTGGGCTAAACTCAATTTATGTTTTGTTTCTAGTTCCTTCAGCTTGTTTTGTAATTCCTGTAGTTTTCTATTCCTAGTTTTTTTTCTTATATGAAGATATTGCTATGATTTTCCCTCTCAGGACAGCCAGCAGTATCCCACATAATGGGAGGTGATACTTCTCCATTATAATTAAACTCTAAATCGAGGCTAATTTCTTTTTTAATTTGTTCTTTAAAACTAGGTTCATTCAGACTTGAGTTTAGTTTCCATGTGTTATTTTTTGGTCGCAGATTAAGATCAAAAGATAGATATATAGATGCATGGTCAATGAAATCTATGGTCCCACTTCCACAAGTGTGTATTTTGTCTTTATCCTTTCCAAATGTTACAAAATAATGTATTCTCGTATAAAGAGAGTCGGGGGCAGAATAGTGAGTGTAGTCTCTTCTGTTAGGAAAGAGGTCTGTCCATATGTCAATTAGACCAACCTCCTCAAAAAGTGTGTTAACTTTCTTGTATAAAGATCCATAGGTCTTTCCACTGGAGGAGTCTAATTTTGGCTGCAAATGTATATTTAGGTCTCTACCAGAAACCAAAAGACCTTCTGTTTCTGTTACCATGATCTTACTATATAATGACGAAAACTTTGTCTGTGGGTGTGTCTGTCTGTGTCTCTGTTCCACGTTTTTCTCCTGACTGACTTGATCAATCCATGTGAAATTTGGCACGGGGGTAGAGGGTCATGGGAAGATGCGAATGAAGCAATATTACATCAGCTGGCCAAAGGGGGGCCCTATGGCAACCCATTGAAATTGCAATTTGAATTGGCATATCTCATGCCCTGTATGTCGTAGAGACATGAAACTTTGCACAGAGATGCCTCTCCTCATGAGGAACAAATTTGCCTCAGAACCCATAACTTCCGGTTATGTAGATTTTCCACCATTTTGAATTTTTTGATAAACACTTAAAATCAATCGCTTCCTAGGAAGTTTGACCAATCTGCATGAAACTCGGTGAACATAATCTAGGGACCAATATCTAAAGTTCCCTCTTGGCAAAAGTTGGAAAACTTACTAAAACTGAGCTTCTATAAGGCAATGAATATTGCGGAGGGCGTGGCTCATCACATAAAGGTGTATGAGTTGAGCTAGAACGAACATCTAGCTGTGGGGGAAAGCCTCTCCTACCCGTGGGTAGAGGGCCCTCACTGTGGCACACTGAGGGGTACAAACAGAAATCTCTGTCCAGATATAAAACAGTTCTTATGAATTCCTCGCCTATATATATTCCCATTTAAATGGGGAAAAAGGAGTAAGTCTATAAAAAAAATATGTTAACATATGTATTTCCCCGAATAAAAAAAGCACTGCCTACTTGAAATTTCGTTTAGCTTACCAACACTAGAGTTCATCAGAATTTATAACTCTTCTGAAGGGGATGAGGGCTGTCGTCTGAATGCTCTCAATCCCCTCTGATGCTCTTGTCCCGCTCTTCTCCCGCTCCTCTCCCATTCCCTGCTGTCTCAGTCCTCCCACGGGAGGACACGGTGGGAGGGACAGCTGCTCCACTAGGCACTCCCTTGATGTGATCACTTTGACGGGAAGACCTCTGTCCTTCATATCTGTAGTCGCCTCCTCCACCGTCTGATACAGCCGCGTCCCATCCTCATAAAACACACACTGCTTCAATACTCGCTTTGCTTCAGAATACTCCTTGCGTTTCTGTAGGACTACTGGGGGATAGTCCTGGGCAAAATATATTGGTCTCCCATTCCAAGACACTGACTTATTTCCCCATGCCTTGCGCAGTAACTCTTATTTGGTTTTGTAGCGGAAAAATCTGATTATTATTGAGCGCGGCTTGTGTCCTCCATCCCTGGGGGCGCGCGGGGCGAGCGCGCGGTGTGCTCTCTCAATGTCGAAGTCCCGTATCTCAATTCAAATTCAATTCAATTCAAATTCAATTTTTATCAGTTCAAATATCATTGAGAAAATCTGTATTTTATCGTTTAGCAGGAGCTGCTACCTTAGGCTGCCATTCAGGGCGATGACGTCACCGGAACCGGTACATATTTTATCTTATCTTCACCAAACTTGGTGCATACCATATTTAGATGACCCCCAAACAAAACTCATGAGTTTGTTTTGGATATCACTTACCATTAGTCTGTAATGGGTTACCAAACCTTTGAAAGTGTGGCCTGATGCACTTTACGGGCCACAACACGTCAATGCTACATTGCAACCAACTTTGGGATATGTTGTACAAATTCATTGTTTGAATTTTCACACAGTTCTACCCACAGGGGACGCTATAATAACACAAAAATTGGCATTTATACAATTCTGTTCACTTCCGTTCTCCATGAACATGTGCATGACATATTTAACAATGTCATCAATAGCTCCTCCTCGTGGCGATTATTAAAACACCACCATACTACCATACTATTTATTGACTACCATAGCTTTTTAATGTAATGTTCTATGGCAAACAAATTCAGCAAAGTTGCACAGATAGGGATGATGAACAAGTCTGTAAAATCTGATACAATTTCATCTTTAGGTGGCGCAAAAGGTTTTTTTTTATTTTTTTTATTTATTTATTTTTTTTAATTGCTGTTATATCAGTAGCTTGTAGCTGGCAGTAGCCAGAGCTGGAAGCAGCAGCAAAGAGCTTCCAGCTCTTACATGCATTTTATTTATTAGCATTTTCATTTTCATTAGAAAATGCTAATATTTTCATATTTTAAGGGTCACTGTTTAATGTTGTGAGCACAACAAATTTATAATACCTCATTGTTTTGGGGTAGAGACAAATCTCAGCAGCAGATATCTCAAACTTTTGACAAAAAACACAGAACTATCTGTATGGATAGATACCACTAGGTGAGGAGACATGTTTTTTTGCTCTTGTTTTGAACCAACACTTTGAGAAGTCCGTAAGGCTTCTCAGACATGCATTGGATAGTAGTGCCACCCAGTGGCAATCAGAGGTTACAGCTACATATATAGTATAATATGTATATTATTATAGTATAATGTTAGATTAATGTTAGAATCGAATATGAATGAAAAGTGTTCTCCTCAACATGGAAAAGTCTTCCACATAGTGATAAGTGTAAAATATCTTAGACAGCTGGTCGTGGCCTTGTCAGTCAAACCCTTGTTCTACTATGATCAGCATGAGTCTGTAGTGAATGCTGCTTACTGTGGGAACTTTGCTCTCCCGGTCAGACCCTCCAGCGATGCTGAATCCTAGCCCAGCTCCCTCCTCTTTATGAAGAATCACAACATGGATGTCAACCAATTGCTGTAGAAAAAGAGGTAGAGTTACAACTGGAGGTTTTTTTTCTGTGATTAGCTCAAATTAAATAGTTTATCACATACGAGGGGACTGTGAGCCACCGTGCAGTGTTCATGTCTACATAACAATATTCAGGGTTTTCCCTGCCTATCTAAGACAAAGGCGGGCTGCCTGGGTGATTTTGGCCACCGCCTTGGTTAAAGCGGTGTGTGTATGGGGGGCATTCAGATGTAGTGTCTTTTGCGCACACAAACCCATTACTATCAATGTAGACCCAAAGCGACTCTGCAGCGGTGTGCATTCGGCGCGGCGCGCTTGTTTTTTCGTCTGGCGCACAGCTCCACAGAAAGACGTCGCCTCTGAGATGTAGAATGTGTATTATAGAAGAGAGACACACATTTCAGGACCACTGACTTGTATCATCAGAACATACATGTCCTGTCATTTTCAGCCTCCTTTCATATTTAATAGAGGGGGGACAATACCTGATAGTAAAATTCTCAGCTGTCAGGATGTGCCTGCCGTAAAGGGTAAATATAATCATATAATCAGGCTGAAAATCACAGGACGTGTCCACCGTAACCCTAACCCTAACCCTTTTGTTATTCCAAAAAAACGAGTGAGTGGAAGATGACGGCGATTCACACACACCTTCCAGCGCTAATGTGGAGGATAGAGTGATGATGCCAAACATGGAGAATGAGAATGAAGGGGAGGGTGAAGACGAGGAAGAGGTGCTAACGGGGGCGGCGTCAGCTGCGGCATCCACGGAGAATTTGTTTTCAACAACAACGGACTCGGAGACCAGTGGTAATGCTAACATACATGAAAATGAGAACAGAGCGGAGATCGGAGAGTGAAGGGACAGCTTCAGCTAGCGCCGTAGCTGCGGTCACGGGTGGCAGGAATCCCGGTGGCCCTGTGGATTTAAGCCAAGACCCAGCAGAGGGACAGAGGGACCGAGGCAGCCTCAACTCCAGTCATACCCGCGTCGGACATTTGGATCCCATTCCCAGCTAACATTAAGGAGTCTAACTACTCGTGGTTCAAACAATACTCATGGCTGTAATACTCGCTGTCAGTTGATGCGGCTTTTTGCTATGCCTGTAGACATTTTTTCCACCACGGCCGTCGGCCAGGTCACACAGAAAAGAGCTTCACCCATGCAGGGTTCAGAAACTGGAGAAAAGGAGCAGAGAAACTGGCACAGCACAATGCAAGTGCTTCTCATAGTCTAGCCATGGAAGGATGGTGTCAATTTAAAGGGATAGTTCGACATTTTGGCAAATTTGCCTATTGCCGTAATCCCTATAGTCATATGAGTAGGTACATTACCTTTAATTGTAAGTGCGTGTTCTGAGATCAGTGGGGCAGAGCTGCCCGCTGAAATGGAGGTGAACGGTACAGGTCCCTCTCTCCCTCAAAACTAATCAAATACACCATCAAATGACTCCAAAACGCTCTTGTGGACAACTTGTAACTTACACATTCACCACGCTATAAAATAATAATGTAATATTACCAGACAGAGTTGTTTCAAAGCCAAATGCAGAGCCGGAACTACATTCCAGACATACAGTACTTGCTGGGTGGAGTGATTTCAAACAGCGTATGTTTAGTGCAGTTACTCCTGTCATCAAAACAACATGTTTGTTGAGAAGAAGCCAGAATATACAGAGGAAGAGTTACAGGTTTTGGAAAAAGAGAGAGCAAGAAGAGAGGTTGAGGCTGCTGAGCAACCAGGGGCTGAGGGGAGACCCAGAGCCGGTGGTGTAAATGTGGGGCTTACTGGTCACTTTATTAGGTACACCTGTGCAATATAAATATAGAGTACGCCTCAAAATAATCACTGGAACATGGGGAGAACATGCTAACTCCACACTCATAAATCACCACAACTCCTGAAGGAACAACAACATAAAATGTTCCCTAGCAGTCTGTTTATTCCCAACAATGAGAAGTAATGCCAGTCACTTCACTATATGCTCTGGGCAAGCACTTATCCATAACATAACCTCAACAACATTTGCATTTTAGCCTTATTTACCATGCTTGGGTTGTAGGCTAATGTTACTCAACATGGAGGTAACGTTACAGCAGAGGGATTGGTGAGCAAAATACACAATGATCACTTACCACGTCTGCTCGTTTTGTGATGCTGACAGTATCTTTCAAGAAAGGAGTTTGAACCATTCCTGAGCTTCTGTGCTCCATCCTTTCACTGTAGTCCTCCGGTAAAAAATGGCAGGAGCACACAAACATTTTCCGGACCATTTCCACAGGCGTGTTGGGGTTGATGTACAGCACAAATAGCCATTGTTTCATCCTGTCTGTATTACTGGTTGGAACTACGTGAAACTTCACTTTGCTCCATGTCTTCGGCTTGTTACAGCAACCTTTTACAATGCATGTGTAAACCATGATTTACAAAAACACTTGTAAACTTTCCTCAAACTTTCTGGTGTGTCCAGCTGATGATACCGCAAATGCAAGGCTGCCAGCAATAACAACGGCACTGTCTCAGCTGCGCACTGTATCACTCCGCCCAGTGGTTTACTCAAGAAAGCAGTTCCGAGTATTTGCTTCATGTGTCGTAATGTTACTTAATTATACATTATTATTTCATAGCGTGGGGAATGTGGAAGCCATGTGTTGTTCACTAGAGCGTTTTGGAGTCATCTGATGGTGTATTTGATTAGTTTTGAGGGAGAGAGGGACCTGTACCATTCACCTCCATTTCAGCTGGCAGCTCTGCCCCGCTGATCTCAGAACAGCACGCACTGACAATTAAAGGTAATGTACCTACTCATATGACTATAGGGATTACGGCAATAGGCAAATTTGCCAAAATGTTGAACTATCCCTTTAAGGAGAGACTGAAAAGCGGATTGAGGATTTTTTTGTGCCTCAAATTCATATCCACAACTGCTCCAGCCACGCCCTGAGTGAGTTTGACTGTCGTGAGTTTCTTTAGAGTCTGGATTTATTATCTGCCTGTCCACTACCAGCCCATTCAATAGTGATATTGCTGGGACTCTTTTGTTGCACATTCTAAACATTCTTAAGTCACTGTTAAACTGTCCTCCTTGTTCAAAAGCTAAGTAAACAAAACAATAATGCCGTTTTAACAACACTAATAATATATTACATTTACAACAATCATAAATGCACTCCAGCGTTGAACTCTGCAAGGACGAGTGACTGGCTTCCTTGGATCTGCACCTTTGGAACAAGGACACAACAAAGACTGCATCTGGAACCACAGCTCTTTCCAACCCTCCTCTGCCGGCTAACAAAAGCAGCACACCATAAAGCGACTCTTCTTCCACCCATTCAAGGATCGGTAATGTAACAACTGGGCATAGCTTTATCACAGCTGTACAGCTTAATGCTTTTTATTGTGTTATTGTTGTGATTGTTGCAGTTAGATTATTGGTTAGTTGGCTTTGCCAAAGCTAAGTGTTTAGTTTGCTGATGCTTTTCACAGACAAAGTGTTGCATGCAACTAAACATCCTCTACTTTAATCCAGATCCTTTGCAACACATATCACATTCACATAGGCTCATTTACAAATTTGCTTTCAACAGAGCTACACCCAAAGAGGCTGCTTGGGTTGGGAACTGGAGCATTGCCTGTTCAAATCCCCATCCAGACCAAATATGGAGCGTGGACTGGTAGCTGGAGAGGTGCCAGTTCACCTCCTGGTCACTGCCAGGAAGCAAGGCACCGAACCCCCCAACCGCTCGGGGCACCTGTCATGGGCAGCCCCCTCACTCTGACATCTTTCCATTTAGTGCATGTAATGAGGGTCCTGTTTGTGCATGTTTGTGTTTCAGATCTGTGTGTTGTTGACAATGGAGTGAAAAATTAATAAAGTATGCAAAAAATTTAAAAATTAAATTAAAATTATTTAACATTATTTCCGATAACCAATTTACAACATTAATTGGTGTCCCCTTGGTGAGGCTTGTTGTTCCCAACATAACTGGTGCCTCCATGTGACACCCTAATTTATGTTCCCTACATAATTGGTGCCTCCATGTGACGCCTAATTTATGTTCCCTACATAATTGGTGCCTCCGTGTGACGCCCTAATTTATGTTCCCTACAGCATCAACCCAGCAACAGGACCAGTATCTGCTCCATTGTGCGAGGAGGAACAGGAGGATCACTGCCAGAGCCCAACAAAATGACCTTCACCAGGCTACTGCTGCACATACTGGTGTACGCTGTGGTGAATGTTATGCTGCCTGTAACATATTCATGCATGACTTGTTTGGCAGTGGGTCAGTGGAGAGCCATAGCCTTAGTTAACGGTACCCTGACTGCTGTTAAAATCCTCAGAGCAACTGTCAGACCATATGCTGGTGTAGTGGGCCCTGGGTTCCTCCTAGTACAGGACATTGCCTCATGGGTCCAGAGTGTGTAGGCAGTTCCTGGATGACAAAGGCATTGATGCCACTGACTGGCCCTTTCATTCCCCTGACTGGAATCCAGTTGAGCACCCATGGGATGCTACAGTGCCCTCCAAAAGTATTGGAACAGTGAGGCCAATTCATTTATTTTTGTTGTAGACTGAAAATATTTGGGTTTGACATCAAAAGATGAATATGGGACAAGAGATCAACATTTCAGCTTTCATTTCCAGGTATTTACATCTGGATCTGATACACAACTTAGAAGATAGCACCTTTTTTTTTGAACCCACCCATTTTTCATGAGAGCAAAAGTATTGGAACATGTGACTGACAGGTGTGTTTTGTTGCCCAGGTGTCTCCCAATTACATTGATTATTCAAACAATAAATAGCACTGAATGTCTGAGCTCAGTTTCAGATTGGGTACGATAGGTTTTGCCTGTGCAGACTGCATTTAGAGGTGGAACCAACATGAAAACCAGAGAGCTGTCTATAGGTGAAAAAGAAGCAATTGTGAATCTGAGAGAAGATGGACAATCAATCAGAGCCATTGCACAAACATTGGCCATAGCCAGTACAACCATTTGGAATGTCCTGAAGAAGAAAGAAACCACTGGTGTACTAAGCAACAGACGTAGAACAGGTAGACCAAGGAAAACATCAGCAGTTGATGACAGAAACATTGTGAGAGCTGTAAAGAAAGACCCTAAAACAACTGTTAGTGACATCAGCAACAACCTCCAGAGGGCAGGAGTGAAGGTATCACAATCTACTGTTCGCCAGAAGATGCAAACCACTCATTAGCAAGAAGAATAGGAAGGCCAGGCTGGAATTTGCCAAAAGGTACAGAGATGAGCCTCAAAAATTCTGGGAAAAAGTTTTATGGACTGATGAGACAAAGATTAACTTTTTCCAAAGTGATGGAAAGGCGAAAGTTTGGAGAAAGAAAGGATCTGCTCATGATCCCAAACATACAAGCTCATCTGTGAAACACGGTGGAGGTAATGTCATGGCTTGGGCTTGCATGGCTTCTTCTGGGACGGGCTCTTTCATCTTCATTGATGATGTAACACATGATGGCAGCAGCAAAATTAACTCAGAAGTCTACAGAAACATTTTGTCTGCTAATTTAAATAAAGTTGCAACCAAACTGATTGGGAGATCCTTCATCATGCAGCAAGATAACGACCCAAAACACACTGCCAAAACAACAAAGGAGTTCATCAGGGGCAAGAAGTGGAAGGTTTTAGACTGGCCAAGTCAGTCTCCAGACTTAAACCCAATAGAGCATGCATTTTACCTGCTGAAGAGGAGACTGAAGGGAGTAACCCCCCAAAACAAACAACAACTGAAAGAGGCTGCGGTGAAAGCCTGGAAAAGCATCACAAAAGAAGAATGCAAAAGTTTGGTGATGTCAATGGGTCACAGGCTTGATGCAGTTATTGAAAGCAAAGGATTTGCAACTAAATATTAAGTCTCATTCACTTTAATCTATTTTAAGTTTATATGTTCCAATACTTTTGCTCACCTAAAAATTTTGTGTTCCATTACAAATAATGCTGTCTTCTAAGTTGTGTATCAGATCCAGATGTAAATACCTGGAAATAAAAGCTGAAATGTTGATCTCTTGTCTCATATTCATCTTTTGACGTCAAACCCAAATGTTTTCAGTCTACAACAGACTGAAAAGTAAACGAATTGGACTCACTGTTCCAATACTTTTGGAGGGCACTGTATGTATGAGTGCATCCAATGCCACCAAGTATTGCCACAGACTGTCCAGGAGCTCACTGATGCCCTGATCCAGGTCTGGGAAGAAATCCCTCTGGACACCATCTGCTAACCTATCAGGAGCATGCCCAGATGTTGTCCAAAGTGCATACAGGCATGCGTTGGCCATACACACTATTGTGTCACATTATGAGTTGCCATGATAAAATTCGCGCAAGTTGGATCAGCCTATGATTTCATTTTTATACCCTGACTTTTAATGTGATTTTGAATCCAGCCCTCAAAGGGTGAATGATTGATGAAGGTTGATAAAGGTTTCCACTGACTGTTACATCATTTTGTTCTGAACAAATTATACAATGTACATCAGTAAAGATTTTTAACGTAAATATTTTGTTCATCAAGATCTGTTGAGAGGTGTATTATTTCTGTAGGTTATGCTTACAAGACTATCTTGTGTATCACTAACTGCATTTTTTCTTCATCGTTCTCACCCGCCACTTGACTAAATGCTGTCGGAGTGGTTCAAACAAAGTTGTTTTGGAAACTAAAGTGTTGACTCACTGGGAATGAATGTTAGTTGATTCAGAAATCAAATGGAAATAAATTGATTCATGACACTTTTTAATACCATACTTTTTTATCTTTGGGTTTGTGGGAAGGTGTCATGTATTTTCAATGCTCGAGTCATTGGAGTTAAAGTCCCAGTAAAGTTACAAGTCTTTTTGGATTTGTTGAGTCTTGAGTCATCAAATTGATGTCGAGTCTGATTTGAGTCCAGAACTAAGGATTAATATATTTAAATCTGAGATTTAAAAAGGTTTACGTATTCCCTAAAATAACATTTTATACCTAACACAGTGAAGACAGCATTAAAACTGAATATTTTGGTGGTTGGTCAAACTTTAATGGGGTTGGTGAAATATAAGTTATTTGTTGTGTCTGTGATGTTGATGTTGTATGTTCAAAAGTGCATGTTAAAAGTTTTTCCATGAATGTTTGCATTGTAATGTGATGCATTTACATTTTTAGAGTTTTTACAGTTATGGATATACCAAATATAGGTCTGGTGGGTGTTTCACCTTCAGTGTCTCTTCGTTTAGAACTTTGACTTCCTGGATCATCCCCTGTATTTCCTGTGAGGAGATGGCTGAGATGAAGGAGTGAGCACAAGCAGAAGTGATGTCTGCCTGGTTGTGAGATCCCCCCTCCCCCTGGTCAATGGTACAGTCCCTCAGTGTGGCCAAGCTGTATTAAAGTGACGGAAACACAACAGAGTTGAGAATGCAATGTCAGATACACATCTACAAGCACTGTACACACTAGCAGTGTTTAACTGTGCTGGATTTAACATCTGCACCGACAGTTAAAAACTTGCCACTGCTTCTCTGGTAAAACAGGAAGTGTTCTTTTTCATCTTTTTCACTTCCTTATAAATAAAGGACAGGTACAGTAAGCCATCTGGGGGTAAGTCCCTGTTCAGTTAATGAAACACTACAAGCCATGTTTACTCAAACCTCTCTGTGGAAGTCCTACCTAACAGAGAATCCTCTGTCAGTGCTGTCCAGGTCATGCTCAGACTCCTGAGGGTTTGTTATATCCACTTCAGAGTTGTCCTGCAGATTTGAGGAACGAGGGTTACCATGGCAGGGGTGCATGGGTAGAGCGCGCATAAGCACTTGAGAAACCTGAAACAAAAGCAACATTTTAAAATAGAATAAGATACTGCAAAGACAATCATAACGTTGAGTCTTATTTATGTAGTTTTGGTTATTATTTGTCAGTAATATTAAAGAGTAACTTCTGTATTTTTCCACCTTGACCCTATTTTCCACTTGTTCATTTCTAAGTGATCAATGGGAACAACAATTTTTGAAATTTGTCCAGCATTGAGTGAAAGGACTGCAGCAGCAAAACAGGCTTTAATATAATCACTTGGGGCAATTGCACATCATCAGTGTATGTCCACTAAAAGTGCTTGTCTTTGCCACCGACTGGCTCAGAGTATTATTCTAAGTGTCTGACAACATTATGGAAAGGATCCCTACAGAGATAGACCTTTTTGTTAAAAAGTAATTTCCTGTTTAACCAGAAATAGCCCAAACTTGCCATTGCCAGTCACATCAGACTCCATTTAAATATATATTTTTACATCTAACTGGGTGAATTAGAGGTTTATTTCAACCAAACCTGAGTCGGTAATTGTTGGAACTGTGGAATATTGAACCAAGACGACTTTTGTGAGTTTAATGTTGTTTCTGTGGACTTTGAATTAAGTGTGTTTTACGATAATAAAATTACTGGAGTCTGGTGGGTTTAGCGATACTGATTTTGAGGCAGTTTCTGGTTAAACAAAAAGGATCTTGCTCTTTAACAAAAAGGTCTATCTCTGTTGGGATCCTTTCCACAGCATTGTCAGACACTTACACTAATGACCTGAGCCTGTCAGTGACAAAAACAAACACTTTTAACGGGCATACATTGACTGTGAGAAATTTCCCCTAAGTGAATACAGTATGGGCTGTTTCAAAGCTGCCAGCTGCAGCACTCTTGCTCAATACTGGATCAATTTTTTAAAAAATGGTGTTTTCATTAGTCACCTAGACACATAAACATGAGAAAATAGGGTCCAAGTTAAACAAAACCATAGTTTAACACTGCACTTGGCAAGTTAATTGACATGAAGGTAACTGTTAAATTATTACCCCAACTGTTGGCTGTAAACATCCCTCACAATTTGTTTACACAATTTTTTACAGCTGTGATCGACTACTTGTGTTTCCTGACTTACTGAAATCTGTTATAGCAGTGTTGCCATGTTCTTACATCTCAAGTATTAGTTTGGTAATAACAGTAATAAAGAAATTATAGTCAAAACTACTGAAATAAGTCAAATAATTAAAATTGGAATAGCACTTTAAATAATGTTTACATGACAAATAAAGTCAAACATTAGCCTAGTCCCTCACATGAAAGATTACCTGGTTACTGAAGACAAGGATTTTCTCTAAACTCTCTCCATCCAGGCTTCTCAGGGGGTTACTGTCTGTGGGCAGAGCAGCATTCTGAGGTGTGCTCAGCAACTTCTCTTGGCTCTGTGCTCCATATTCCTCCATCCCTTCATGATGACTTTCCCCTGCAGCTTGATTGGATCTCATAGTTGTTGCAGGCAGTAGGACTTTGTCTTCTGTGGACATGGTAAGATCCATTTTTTCCAGCCCAGGTTTGCATGGAAAGACACTCCTCTCATCATGGATTGGAGCTGAATCGCAATCGTGTATCTCTGAGTTCAGATAAGTGCTGATGGTGTCAGAAAGTGGGAGATCTGTTGGGGATTGGATGTAGAGAGGCTTATCTTCAGAGGTCTTGGCTGTTTGACTGGAAGCTTCAGAAATGGAGGAGGTGATAGCAGAGCTTGTAGCAGAGACATTTTTGTTGTCTGTGCCCCTAGGGGATGCAGACTGGTTCGCCTGGATCTTTTGTGGGATTTTGCCCTTCCCATAATCTCCATGTGAGGCAAGTCGAATCCTGGACTCCTTCTCCATTAGAACAGGAGAGGTGGAAGGAACCAAAGGCCTCCTGATGCATCCCATCTCTGTCCCCTCTGGCCTGGAATAAGTCTCAAATGAGTGGATCTTTTGTTTGATTGACAGGTTGGTTGCAGAAGATGCACATCTGACTCCAAAGCCTCTGTTGAAGCCCACACTAGGCCTCTGTTCTGCGGGTTTAGCTTGCCTCTTCTGATCCTGCTCATCCTGAATTTTCGTCAGACTTTGGCGAAACCAGACAGGCTTGGGTGCCACCGGGGGCCCCATCTTTGCTCCTGGAGGAGTTTCACATGTGTTTTCAGAAATCATGTTGGACAGAGGATCTGAAGTCACATCTGTAGCTATGCCATTGAGCTCGGATATGTTCTTGTCGTCATTCATGGTGGCAGCTTTGCTGTGGATGTTGGTAAGCTGTGTTCTGTCTGCAGTATGGTGACGGTGATGGTGGTTGATCTCAGGCAGCTCTTCAGGGAAACTGTTGGAAAGGTGGACCCACGGATCCTTGAGGTTTTCTTGGTTATGTTGGTCAATACAAGCCTGTCGCCTCAAAGCTCCTCTCTTTGGCTGTGAGCAGAGCACAGCTGATAAATCATCTGTCCACACAACATAGAGGGAAGTCTGAGAGGTGGCTGTGTGTTTCAAAGATGTTCATGTCACAAACTCATATAAAGATATTAATGTGTGTTCACACTGTGAACCACAGCACACAGCAGAAAAAAGGTTTAAGCCCCAACAAACTTGGTCTAGCTACAGCTGATGATCATTATCATCGCTGCATCATCCTCACTGAATTCTACTCACTGACAAATAAAAACCCTGCTTCAAACAGGAAATGGAACCTCAGTTATTTTCCACTGAACAACAGCACTGTTGCCATCACAGTAGGATCAATTGCTGGATTAATCAGCTGGTTCTGAAGTTGCACTACACATAATTTGTGCTTGTTTCCTACCTGTGTGTAGTCTGTTGCTTGTGTAGGCTGCAGTGTCTGCATGAGTGAAATCTTCTTTAGCTGACTGTTCTCTTATTCGTTCTCCTCCCTGCTACACAAACAGGAAGTATTGTGTCATCACAGCTTCTTTATCACCAACCACAGAGAGATGCTGCTTCCGCTCAGACATTTATCCACACCACTGCCTGCTACTGCTTTCACACCATTTGATTCAGTCAGTAACAGGGCCATAACCTAATCAGCAACAAGTGTGAGTCCACGCAGAGGGGTTTGGGAATTTGATGCATGGCACTGCATCAAATATGGCGGCAACATAGCGGCCACAACCCTTGACCTACTGAAAAGCTTTTAATGACTTTTTGATCAGCGTGGTCTCAGGATGATCTGTACCAAATCTCAAGTTGATTGGACAAAATCTGTAGGAGGAGTTCGTTAAAATACAAAATTGTGGAAATAACAAAATCGCTGCCAAAATAAAAAGTTTAAATCAAAATGGACGACTTCCTGTTTGGAGTAGACCATTGGTGGCAGAGACTTTTTTGTGCATCTGGGCAACTTACACAGATGTACAAATTTTCATCTTCCTACTCCAAAAAAAACCCCTATGGGGAGGGTTTTTTGAAAATTTCAGCAGGGCGCTATAGAGGCATTTTGTCCCCCCCATGGGCGACACCCCTATCAGATGTAAGAGGTCACCATTCTTGACCTGTGTATCAATTTTCTTGAGGAGATGAGGTTGTTGAAGCCATCGAAAAGCCAAATGTATTTGGTGGTGAGGGATCGATAGTCGCCACTCCGCGACACAGACACCATTAGATGTAGCTTAACAGCGTTCATAAGGTAGCTTCACCAACTTGTTCTGCATGCATTAGAAGTGGAATGAAGTTGATGGGGTCAAGTTTGTGGCAACATGTTAAAGTAAAAACTGGTCACTTCCTGTTACCACCGGGGTGCGTTATGAGTAAAGTGGAATATTAACATATCGGGGCGTTCAGGGCGGAGCCATCATCATGTCCAGCAAGTTTGAAACTGCTAGCATCAAGTATGTGGGTGTGAGAGCCGTTCAAAATTCGATGGTGAGAAAACAAAAAGTCGCCAAAATTTGTCACGCCCTAGCAGCCACACCCTTTGACCTACTGACATTCTTTTAATAACTTTTGATCAGCATTTTCTCAGGATGATCTGTACCAAATTTGAAGTCGATTGGATGAAATCCCTAACAAACGTAAAAAATTCAAATCAAAATGTCTGACTTCCTGTTCGGTTTATGGCATGGGTCCAAGAGGATTTTTTGTGTGTCTTGGAATGTTCTATTAGGCCACCAATTTTCATGCGTGTAAGTGAAACTCACAGGCAGGGCTTGAGGCACGAAATTTTCTAGGGGGTGCTATGTTGCCATTTGGCCCCATCCACATACAACACGGCCAAAATATCAAATTTTTCGCCAGACCAAACGCGTGTGCCAAATTTGGTGAATTTTTGAAATTAGGAAAGGGGCCAAATTGACAATTAAATGTTCATAATAATAATAATTAAAGCTGCAAGCAGCTGTGATCGGGCCCTCGCTCCCCCATGCAACTGCGGGGGCCTGAGGCACGCGGGGGCTGTGGAGCAAAGTGAGAAGGAAGAAAAAACCTGGCAGGAGCAAAAAAACGCAGTGTTTTGTTTATCCACCAGGTGGCGCTACGAGCGTAACCAGATGTGGCCAGGTGCGTTCAGGGGTGGACTGTCATCACACGTGAAGTTTTGAGCAAATCGGACAATGCGTGAAGGATTTATAACAAGTTGATGTTCCGTGGCGTAGGATGAAAAGTTGCCACCGCCGCCGCGGCAGCCTGCAACATGACAGGACACGTGTGTCACTGTGGAGATTCATCAACTTGATCGTCATGTGGCCACAAAATGTACCTGATCAGGTCAGGAGCTTGAGGTTGGTGTTTGTCAGTGTAAAAGATGGCATTTCCTGTTTCCACAAGGGGGCGCCATGAGCGAGATTGCCTGCGAGCATATGGAGGCGTTGAGGGTGGGGCTCTTATCATGTACAGAAATTTTGAAGCAGTTTGGATGAATTATGTGGGAGGGAGAGCTGCTTGAATATGCATGGTGATGGATCAAAAATGGCAGCGCCATAGCAGCCATGCCCTTTGACCTACAGACATGCAGAGCACAACTTTTGATCAGCAAGGTCTCTGGAAGTAGTGAACTGAGTTTCATGTCATTCGGACACACCAATATGGAGATATGCAACACTTCCTGTTTTGTACCAAATCTGCAGGAAGCTGCTATTTAATGAGTATTCTTTGGAATATCAAAATTCTTTTAATAACTTTTTGTCAGAAGAGTCCACAGATGTGCAAAGTTTTGTGCAAATCAGTGAAATTGCCTAGGAGGAGTTCGAAAAAGTAGGTTTGCGACATTTTGCGAATTTGCGTAAAAAAAACGGTAGGCAGAAATGGCCGTGGCCTATATCACAAGATTCAGCACAATTCACTGAACGCGTGGATATAAGGTTTTTGAATGTGCCACAAAGTATATGGGAGTTATGACCCAAAACGCACTTTCCTTGATTATAGCGCCACCTAGTGGTGGAAATTCAGGACGACAATAGATTATAAAATTTTTCGCCAGACCTAACGCGTTTGCCATATTTGGTGAGTTTTTGAATTTGGGAAAGGGGCCAAATTGGGGATTATATGCGAAGAAGAAGAAGAAGAAGAGCGATTACAATAGGGTCCTCACGGACGACTTCGTCATCGCTCGGGCCCTAATAATAATAATAATAATAATTAAAGCTGCAAGCAGCTGTGATCGGGCCCTCGCTCCCCCATGTAACCACGGGGGCCTGAGGCACGTGGGGGCTGTGGCGCGAAAATTTTTCACCAGACCAAATGCGTGTGCCAAATTTGGTGAGTTTTTGAATTTGGGAAAGGGGCCAAATTGGGGATTTAATGTTCGTAATAATAATAATAATAAATAATAATAATAAACAGCGCAATTACAATAGGGTCCTCACGGACGACTTCGTCGTCGCTCGGGCCCTAATAATAATAATTAAAGCTGCAAGCAGCTGTGACCGGGCCCTCGCTCTCCCGCGTCTACGCGGGGGGCCAGCAGCACGCATCACTGAAGCAGTTATGTGAAAACTCAGAGTGAGTTAACCCTGACGTGGTGTGACGTTTCATCTTCCTACTCCAAAAAACCCCCTATGGGAAGGGTATGTTGAAAAATTTAAGGGGGCGCTATAGAGGCATTTTGTCACCCCCCCATGGGCGACGCCCCTATCAGATGTATGAGCTCACCATTTTTGACCTGTGTATCAATTTCATGTGAATATGATGTCGCTGAAGCCATCAAAAAGCCAAACATATTTGGTGGCGAGGGCAATGTCATAGTAGCCACACCTCTTGACATAGAGAAAAGCTTTTAATAACTTTTGATCAGCATGGTCTCAGGGGCTGAGGCTGTTGAGCAACCAGGGGCTGCGGGGAGACCCAGAGCAGGCATGGATTGGTGGTGTAAATGTGGGGCTTACTGTCCACTTTATTAGGTACACTTGTGCAATCTAATACAATCCAATACAACAGCTCTGCCACACATTGTACGTTTACAAAGCTTTTACTTTTTCAGCTTTTGTAAGAAAAGTGATTATTCTACTTTGTTGTTGAGGTCGTAGTGGGTGGTGTTGGTGTATTGGAGTGCAATATATTTAAAAGTGTTCCTAATATTTGTCCTCCTCAATTAGACAAAATTAGGAGGCCACCTCAGTACACCACCACCATTGACTATGACCTCAATAATAAACAAAGTAGAGTCACCACTTTCTAGATGATGTCAACAATAACTGAAAATTTATACGCTTCAGGGAAAAAATCATGGTATAGTCGTTTTACTGGATTGCATTAGATTACACAGGTGTACACAAAGTGGCCATTGACTGTATGTTACATACATACAGATGAGATTTCCTCAAATAGTAGCCTGGGCCACTATTAACAAAATAATAGTTTGGGACCAGGCTACAAATAGGGGCAGGCTACTATTTGAAGGAGGCTTTCAATAAAAATGTTTTTTTTTTAAATCACAGCCAAATTTGAAAATACAAATCCTGTATTTTTTTAATTTAAACAGCAGAAATATTTATGTAAAGCTGTCTTTACAGTAAAAATGAATATTTTCTATATAGTATTACAAAGAAAGCACTTATTTACAGTAACAATGTTTACATTAACAGTAAAAAATAGTTTTTGGTGTTTTTGTAAATCACCAATATTTACTATTGACTACAACACAGTGTACTAGTTGTCCTGCCTTAAAGCAGCGAATCATCTCATCCTCTGTCCCATCTGAAGCCACCGTGATGCCACACACCTTAAAAGACAACATGCCACAAATTAATTTTAAAACTAGGCTACATTCGTAATAATGACTTTTTATCTCACAATTTTGATTAGGAATAGCAATTTCTTTTTTTCAATTACTGGCGAAAATGGGCTTCCATAGACAAAGATGGTTACACACCCTAAGCAGGCGTCATATGCCAGCTGTTTCCACTTGCCACACAATAAATAGAACATAAGTCTTTAAGCTGGTTAATATTTTCTCCATCAGCTATCATTCTAAACAAGACTGTTGCCATACATATAACATGAATCTACCTACACATTATTTACATATTTAACAATGTCAAACACAACACAGAAGACCCAAAGCAACCACATTGACTACATCTCCCAGAAAGGGAGCATGCGCGAAGCAGTCTTGAGACGGCAGCGCGGATATGTGAAGACACGGCCTGTGTTTACATACTGCACTAGCCTTGGACTAATACGTTCATTGCATAAACATCTTGAAAACGATCCCCGTTTTTCATTGGGGGGTTCCCGGTCTCGACCAATTAACGTCTCCATAAACGTTCAGATCAAACATGTAATGTATTAACTGCATAGTCACAGATTTCACACTTACCACCAATGTGCAATACACCTCCCAACCGCTAAAGTGGCGCTGTGGTGTAGTAGAAAGCCAGTGCACTCATTCATTGCAGGACAAAGAAGGGGTGAAGAAAATTACAAGACATCC